CCACGTCTTCCGAAATTCATACCAGTACCGTGCTGTGGATTACAAGAGGCGTATACGTCGTTTGATTTCATAGTTAGCAACTCGAAAGGCAAAAATCAAATTTTGCATTTAACCCAGATAGGACATTTGCACCATCCTGGTGTCGGTTAGCATCAGACCCAGTCGCTGATCATCCGGTAGAAATGTTGGATATGTGCTAGACAGATTCAGGAATGTATTTTTGATGTTTTTATCATAGAATCAGAACATGTATGTATTTTTTGATTTTATTATAAAAATTCTTTTCAGCATGCAGCACTTGTTTGACACTCTGTTGCAACGCTTAAATCACATCGTTTAGTTTGGGGAGGGTTACGCGATTTACTATTGTGTGCTGTGCCACATCTCTCTGTCTTGTACAACTCATAGGTGTCATCATTGATGCTGCATTGGTCGCTGAATGACGTCGTCGTCGTCGTCGGCAACGTCACTTTGGCCTTCCTCTCGGCCTTGATCCGTGGTCAAGGTCTTATGGTAGCACTTTTTATGATTTTTGGTGGTTTTCATTTCGTGACCAGGACAATGTCGTTATCTAGTTTTCGTTCACAAGCTCTGTTTAATCCCAACTTGTTTCGAGCCATATTTGAGACATTTCGACTCGCACATCTTTCCAGAATGTTCTACCTCTAATTAATTAATGCTGTCTTTATGCAAATGAGGAAAGTACCTCATGTAATGCTTTACGAATAGTGCTGAAAAATTGCACCAGCTTCAGCGGCCGACCTCGGAACTGTCCCCCGATTATGCTGTTTGTTTTCGGCCGAATTTGCGGCAACGACGAAACGAAACGTCGGTTCGGCCGGCCGGCTCGGTTGCGCGTCAAACCCAGACCTGGGCCGGCGAATGATTGAGTGGCCGCCCCGTGGCTTGCCGAACTTCGGATGCGGAACGCGCGCCGGCGCTTGAGTGTTGTAAATGACGGTACAGTGTACGAAAAAGCGAAACACTTGCCCAATTTAATTGCGGTTCCAGCGAACGCCAGCATACGACGGTCGGTCGGTCGGTGATTTATGCTGCTCGGCGACGACGATTCGTTCGTTGCCCGTGCCGAATCAT